TCACTGACGCAGAGAGCAACTTTCGGGTGACCGTTTTCAATGCATGTCTCGATATAATCATCCAGCAACTGTCCCAAAGATTCACCAGCTTAAATGCAACTGTGAACATGTTTGAGGCAATTTACCCCAACACACTACTACAAGCAAAGGAGGAGGATTTACACCAAGCTGCCCAGCGGCTTAGAGAGCACTACAGTCGGGACATCGCCGCCAGCTTCCCTGGCCAGCTGCTTTCTTTCAGAACCTGTTTCAGGGACCAAATATAAAAAACTAAAATCTGTCGCGGATCTGGTAAAAATGCTCATTGTTTACAACCCAGCAGTAACATCTACATTCAGTGAGGTTTGCACAGCCTTCATCTTATTTCTGACTCTTCCTGTCACCGTGGCAACCGCCGAGCGCTCTTTCTCCAAATTAAAACTCATCAAAAACTATTTGAGGAGCACGATGGGACAGGAGAGACTGAGTGGACTGGCCTTGCTGTCCATCGAAAGTGACCGAGCCAAGAAATTGGACATACAGCGGATTGTGGACGAGTTTGTGGAGCGCAAGGCTCGCCGAGTGCCCTTCAAGTAGTGGTGAGTACACTTCAAATTTAATTTGTACAGTAGCCTACTTGTATGTGAATGTATGGGCCGCCGTGCCAATTTTACACTGCTGTGCTCTCATGGTGGCGGCTGGCTGTCCATGGTGAATGGTGTGTCAGAAATGTAGTCATTTTATTAGGCTATGTTTTCGTTGTCGTTGTGGTTTGTTGGACTTTATGTCATGTTATATCATTATTATCTCTGATATATATTTCGTTTCTATACCCTTTGCAGAAACGAAATCTTAAATATTACACCTTTTCTTTAGTTACTTTTCTTTCAAACATTGTTTTAAATTGTAATCTTACTGACTGAGCGACTTTTTACGCACGAGCGTCAGATTACCACCCCGGACTCCCGATATTTTTGTCAAGCTTTATTGGGTTTAAAGGGCCCGGTCATATGGCCCCGCCCCCCGGCCCGGGTCTGATATGTGCCGCCAGTGATAAGAGTGCTTCTTTCACCTCTGCCAGCTGTAAGAATGTGTTACAAAATCCATTGAATGAATCCATGAATCATGAACAGTGACTCGCTCTGTTCAGAAACACAGTTAGTGAGGCTCTGTGCCATTTACTGTCACATTAACATGTCACAATGCTCACACAAACAATGAAACAGAGATATAAAATGAATTGTACTTCTTTCAGCATAAAACATTATTCTTTATCAAAACGCATTTTATAAACTCACATTCAGCAGATACATACTTAGAACTTTAAACAATTTTCAATGCAGAGTCTGAGTTCAGCTCAGTATTGAGTGATCTGAAGGGGGGGGGGTGGTGTAGTCGTGAGGTGTTATTGCTCAGCAGGGACCACCACCAGGAGGATCTGCAGGGTTCTGTTGAAGCAGTCTGGAGACACAAAGGCAACCACACACACATCTCTGGTTTATACAAGGGGAAATATTTGACACATTAACCTAAACACAATGTGTGATGGAAAAACAAAAGAGCTCACAAAGAACATTTACACGGTTATGACTATCTGGGAATAAGATACTATCAGCAAAAATGTCCTGACCTACTAGTTTAAAAAAAAATTGTATCACTTGGAGAAAAATAAAATAGTCTGATCCATTTATTTTCATCATTTTGCTGTTGGATGTGAAGTTCCATTAACATATTTCAGTTATGACTCACCTAATGCCCTCTGAAGCCACTTTGGTCTATGGTTAAAGTAAATGAAGATGTAGTAGGCGGGGATGCCAGTGAGGGAAATGGCAAATCCAATCCCTGTGTTGACCGGGTCCGAGTACAGAGACAGGAAGACCATGAAGAAACAGGTGATGCAGAAAACCACCGGGATGAAGAGCGGGACCTGTGGACACGCTTAGATTACTATCCATTTTGTGTTTGTCGGCAGATACAAGGATATGCATGCATATTCAGGGGGTCAACTGTTTGTGGAATTGGATCACATTCACATGTTTCTTTTAGGCAAGGAAATATAGCAGCAAGGCATTTCAAAGTGCTTCACAAAAATGAGAAACATTAAGAGCAGTAGTGTAGCAGAATCATATTAAAAAGTCTTTAAAAACCTAAGATAATACAATAAACATAAAACAAGCTAATATATAAAATACATGGATAAAAGTTACAGTGCAGTTTAAGATGTGAATAGTTCAATTAAAAGCAGCAGCAAAAAGAAAAGTCTTCAGCCTGGATTTAAAAGTAGTCAGAGCTGCAGCGGACCTGCAGGTTTCTGGGAGTTTGTTCCAGATATTTGGAGCATAATAATAACTGAACGCTGCTTCTCCATGTTTAGTTCTGACTCTGGGGACAGAAATCTGACCGGTTACAGAAGACTTGAGAGTTCTGGATGGTTCATCATTTAGCAGGAGGTCAGAAATGTATTTTGGGCCAAAACCATTCAATGCTTTATAAACCAGCAGCAGTATTTTGAAATCTATTATTTGACAGACAGGACGCCAGTGTAAAGACTTCAGAACGGGACTGATCCACTTTCTTAGTGTTAGTGAGGAACCAGTGTAAAGACTTCAGAACGGGACTGATCCACTTTCTTAGTGTTAGTGAGGAACCAGTGTAAAGACTTCAGAACTGGACTGATCCACTTTCTTAGTGTTAGTGAGGAACCAGTTTAGAGACTTCAGAACTGGACTGATCCACTTTCTTAGTGTTAGTGAGGAACCAGTGTAAAGACTTCAGAACTGGACTGATCCACTTTCTTAGTTTTAGTGAGGAACCAGTGTAAAGACTTCAGAACAGGACTGATCCTGATACTGTTCATGGTCAGTAGCAGTAGCACTAGCAGTAGCTACTGACAGTAGCTACTGCTAGTGCTACAGCAGTGAGCAGCAGAGGTGGGGCTATGGCTTCATCGTTATCAGAAAATGATCGTATAGGATGTACACACGGAGCCGTTTGGCCCCCCAGAGCGTTCCGTTTGCAGATCTATCCACCTTGGGACCCGTTATCGTTTGCGGGGTCCGTTTCCGCGGTTCCGTTACGGCCTCGGTTGAACGAACGGGCTATATGCGAGAGAAAAGTAGCAGATACAACCCGTTTAGTTCTCGTAAAAACACCGCCTTAAGCTCAGCGCTGACTTTTATTCCTTCCTCCTTAGGTCCAAAACATTTTAGTTGTTTTAAACACAACTAAAGACTTTCCCAGTAATATAAAGCAGTTACAAAAAGAGGAACTGTGGAATACAATGTGTGTTGGTTAAAACTGTGGGGAACATTCAGAGTGTGTGAACAGCTGTAGGAAAACTGACCTTAAAGGGCCGGGGGAGGTCAGGTTTGGTATATCGAAGGTAGATTAACCCCAGCACCACCACACCGATGAACAGCCACCGCAGGAAACTCATGAAGTTCAACAGGCTGTAGATGTCTCCCAAAAAAAGCTGGAGCATTGTCATAGGGTACTGCACACACAGACACAGACACAGACACAGACACAGACACACACACACACACACACACACAGGCGAAAGGCTTAATAATCGTTTTTCATCATTGGCAAACATTTGTGAATGAAAAGATTGCAGTGTTTTTAAATAAAACTCTCCAGATTTTTTATATTAACAATGCAAGGTTTGATTAGAAGATAGAATCGGAGGGATGAAACCCTCTTTAATGGTCACACATGCAGAGCACACAGCACAAACAGTGAAATTTGGCCTCTGCATGTAACCCATCCTAGTACCAGGAGTCTAGTACTAGGAGCAGTGGGCAGCTATTGTACAGCGCCCAGAATGCCTTGCTCAAGGGCACCACAGCAGGGCTCAGGAGGTGAAATGGGACCTCTCCAAGTAGCAGTCCACACTCCATATTTAGGTCTGGTCGGGGACTTGAACCAGCGACCCTACGGCTCACAGTCCAAGCCCCTACTTACCGAGCCACTACCGTAACCATATCTCAGTAACCCTAGCAACAACACTATCCTTAATTAAATATACCAGCAGCTGATAATTAACATTTGGTATGGTGATGAATTAGTTTGAACCAAGGTATATATGTTGTCATTATAGATTTGTGTTGAGAACTAACTTGGTTGTGTTTAATGTTTGATAAGTCAAATAGTGGTATTATATTTAATGTTGTCACTATTGTTCATATAGAGTGGTGCAGGAATGAGTCCTAAAGACTGCTAATGATTTAGTATTTTAGCATTTCCGGTTCCTTTGTTTTAATTCACTGGGTTTTCTGAATGTATTTTTGGTTAGAAGCCTGAAATAATGCCTGTGCTTAACACAAGCTGAAGAGACTCAAACATTTTCGACAAGAAAGTCAGGTGAAATTATGATGCTTCTCTGTGTGATAAAGAAAGATAAAAGAAGTTAACCAGAGTCTACCAAATGCCATCACTCGCCTTTAGCTTAGCGGTGGTGATGTGAAGTCATGTGAGAAAGCTGTAGACAAGGCTAATGTTAGTGTTTTAATTCATGCGATTGCATTTACATTTGTTGCAACATTTGTTGCATTAATCCAATTGGCCTTTTGTCGGGGTAACCAGTGCAAACTGACGTCCTCCCTGCACCACTCTGTAGTACTGACCAGTATGAGAACAGCAGCCAGCGGAGTGTGTTTGCGGACGTGGATCATGGAGAAAACCTCAGGGAGATGTCCTTCACGAGAAGCCACATAGAACATTCTGTTGAATACACACAGACACACACACACACGCACGCACACACGCACGCACACACACACGCACACACACACGCACACACACACACACACACACACAAATGCAGACATATGCACAAGAATGACATGTAAATATATATATACATATATAATTCAGGAAAACAACAACCCAGTCATCGCAGAGCGGTTTTTCCACTGATCATGTGATAGCTGCAAACTAGCTCATTTGAATTATGTTACTATGTTTTCTGGTTCTGAACAGGTTCTTCTTTTAAGCCCCAGTTGTGTTTCCACCAGCCGTATGATTATTAATGTGATTAATGAGCAGCATTTACTGACCGCTGCAATGCTGCTGTTCCACCGGCGTTTAGTCTACCGTTTAGTATACCGTTAACTAGCTGGAAAACAGTAATTCACTGTCTGACTGTCACACAAGCAACTATAGCATATCCCCCATCCCCATAGGTGAATGTGTTTCAGTCTGAGTTGATGCTTTTTGGCATCACAACGCCGTTATTAAAGTTTCTCTGCTATTAGACAGGTGATGTTAGCATAGTAACCCAAGCTAATCTGACTATCTTGACTGTTTGTTTTTATCATATTGTGGAATTGGCCGTTTTCTACAGGCATATTTTAATAGCGTTTTTTCTTCATTATGATTTTACTTGTGTATGTACTGATAGCTGCTATAATAAAGACTACAGGAAAACGTATGAGGCAGTGTGCTGGTCTTCAAAACAGGAAATTACAGCGAACGGATGGGCATTGAAAGTAAGGTAAAAACAAACAGCATCCCACTCTGCCTGGTTAGTGTTGCCTCACTTTATATAAGTGTATGTTTTATACGTGTGTGGTCGCATTCTAGTCACTTTGCTTGTTAAGATACTGGTGATGATACTCAAAGCTTTAAAGCCAGTGGAGAGGAAGCCTGTCTGTACCTTGATAAGGCGAAGAGGGAGCCATTCATGGAGCCAAAGCAGGACAAGGCCACAAACAGCGGCACCACGACAGAGAAGTTCCCCATCAGCTTCTCTGCAAAAGTCTGTGGCGACAAAACAACAGGCATCACAGAGGGAGAAAAGTGTGGAGATATTGCTTAAAGTACTTAATAAGTATCACTATCATCATGACGTGAGTTTCGCTGGATCTGTCTGTATGTTTACTGGTTGAGAAATTCTCCATTACCAAGAAAATCTTAAAATGACATAGGAAGTAGTTAGCTTGTTGCTCCAAACTGAACCTCACAAACAAACTATAACATGGTATTTGGGGGCCTTAGAGCTTCTGGTAATTTATTTGGAGTATTTTTTAACTAGCTTGGCTAGCTGTTTCTCATTTCTTCCATTCCTCTCTGTTCTGAATCCAGCATTGTACATAACAAAACCAAAGAAAGAAATGAAGCAAAAAATTATGTTGGATAGCTCTTTTAAAATGAAAGCGGGGCTCTGCTTTGAATGTATAAAACTCTCCAGCTATCAGTTTATTGAATTGCGATGTTGTCTTTTTGCTAACTGTAGCTGATTAGATAGAATTCGAGCAGTTGACAGTGCTGCTGGCAGTAATTGTCATAAATAGGTCATGCACAAAGGAGCAAAAGCTGCTTATTATTCATGAAGCCATTCAGTGCTGATTAATCACAGTCCATTTTTGTGTGGAGGAGTGGGGGCTATATGGAGAAACAAATCTGAATGTGTCCTGAACAAAAATATAAACGCAACAATTTTGTTTTTGCTCCCATTTTTCATGAGAT